GTTTGCAATTGAACCATCTGGTAATCTAGTGGTCCACTGTGATGTTCCATCTTCAAGGTTGAATTGTGTATCAGTTACCATTGTACCATCAGGTAGTACTACTTCTGCATGTTTCTCAGTAGAACTGTCATCTGCTTCTGTTTTGTTAACGACCACTGGTGTTCTCTTTTCAACAGAAGCAGTCACTGAAGATTTTTGTTCCCATTCAGGTACTTTGACAAATTCATGTGATTTGAGTGGCAAAGCGGATACAACAGCTCCATCAGGCAGAGTGACTTGTAAAGTTTCAATGCCATCTTCTGATGTCACATGGGATGTGGCAGATTGATGCCCTTCCGGTAGTATCACACTGAAATATGTTCCAACAGAGTCAATGTGGGAACGTGTTTTGACAATTACTGGTGTGCCATCTTCAAGTTGGCCTGTGACCAGTTCACTTTCACTCAGTTCTGACAGATCCTTTGCAGCATGTTCATCAATATTCCCATGTTCATGGATTGTTGACTGGGAGCCATCCTGTAGTGTTGCTGTCCGTGATTGTTTACCATCTGGTGATGTGACCGTGGGAGCTATTGCTTTATTGCGATCTAGAAGAATCTCTTCGGCAAAATCATTAAGAGAGCCATCAGATGTAGAACGGGGCTTCACAATGACTGTGGTTCCATCAGCAAGAACAGCTTCTGATGGTGATAGATAAACAGCTTCAGTCAATCTTGTGGGACTTCTCACTACATCAGACTGCTGCAAACTAATTTCTTGACCATCTTGCATATCAACATTCCAACTTGATTTGCCTTCAGATGAACATACTGCTGTTTCTGTTACTTCAGAACCATCTTGAAATACCATGGATGTGTGTGATGTAGGTGCAGCTTCTCCATCTATTATTTGTTGATCATTCCTTGTTGTAACATTCCCCAGTAGAGATCTAGATGGAGCAGTTGATTCAATTCCTAAAGATGGCTTGAAACTTGTCTTTTCATCAACATGTTTCACTCCCATAACTGACCCAGGTGATATCATTACTTGCCCTGATTTTGAACCATCTGCTGATGCAACTAGAGTAGCAGTTGACACAGTTCCATCTGGTAAAATTACCTCTTCTCCTTGATCATTAGCATTTTGATGCGTAGACTTCACTTGGATAAGAGTGCTGTCATCTAACAATGCAGTGAATGTTTCCATTTTCTCTTCTTCATTGGAAGATTTTAAGGTTGTTAAGTTTCCTTCATGGACGTTTGCAATTGAACCATCTGGTAATTTAGTGTTCCACTGTGATGTTCCATCTTCAAGGTTGAATTGTGTATCAGTTACCATTGTACCATCAGGTAGTACTACTTCTGCATGTTTCTCAGTAGAACTGTCACCTGCTTTTATTTTGTTAACTACCACTGGTGTTCTCTTTTCAATAGAAGCAGTCACTGAAGATTTTTGTTCCCATTCAGGTACTTTGACAAATTCATGTGATTTGAGTGGCAAAGCGGATACAACAGCTCCATCAGGCAGAGTGACTTGTAAAGTTTCAATGCCATCTTCTGATGTCACATGGGATGCAGCAGATTGATGCCCTTCCGGTAGTATCACACTGAAATACGTTCCAACAGAGTCAATGTGGGAATGTGTTTTGACAATTACTGGTGTGCCATCTTCAAGTTGGCCTGTGACCAGTTCACTTTCACTCAGTTCTGACAGATCCTTTGCAGCATGTTCATCAATATTCTCATATTCCTGGATTGTTGACTGGGAGTCATCTGGTAGTGTTACAGTCCGTGATTGTTTACCATCTGGTGATGTGACCGTGGGAGCTATTGCTTTATTGCGCTCTAGAAGAATCACTTCGGCAAAATCATTAAGAGAACCATCAGATGTAGAACGGAGCTTCACAATGACTGTGGTTCCATCAGCAAGAACAGCTTCTGATGGTGATAGATAAACAGCTTCAGTCAATCTTGTGGGACTTCTCACTACATCAGACTGCTGCAAACTAATTTCTTGACCATCTTGCATATCAACATTCCAACTTGATTTGCCTTCAGATGAACATACTGCTGTTTCTGTTACTTCAGAACCATCTTGAAATACCATGGATGTGTGTGATGTAGGTGCAGCTTCTAATTCTATTATTGGTTGATCATTCCTTGGTGTAACATTCCCCAGTAGAGATCTAGATGGAGCAGTTGATTCAATTCCTAAAGATGGCTTGAAACTTGTCTTTTCATCAACATGTTTCACTCCCATAACTGACCCAGGTGATATCATTACTTGCCCTGATTTTGAACCATCTGCTGATGCAACTAGAGTAGCAGTTGACACAGTTCCATCTGGTAAAATTACCTCTTCTCCTTGATCATTAGCATTTTGATGCGTAGACTTCACTTGGATAAGAGTGCCGTCATCTAACAATGCAGTGAATGTTTCCATTTTCTCTTTTTCATTGGAAGATTTTAAGGTTGTTAAGTTTCCTTCATGGACGTTTGCAATTGAACCATCTGGTAATTTAGTGGTCCACTGTGATGTTCCATCTTCAAGGTTGAATTGTGTATCAGTTACCATTGTACCATCAGGTAGTACTACTTCTGCATGTTTCTCAGTAGAACTGTCATCTGCTTCTGTTTTGTTAACGACCACTGGTGTTCTCTTTTCAATAGAAGCAATCACTGAAGATTTTTGTTCCCATTCAGGTACTTTGATAAATTCATGTGATTTGAGTGGCAAAGCGGATACAACAGCTCCATCAGGCAGAGTGACTTGTAAAGTTTCAATGCCATCTTCTGATGTCACATGGGATGTGGCAGATTGATGTCCTTCCGGTAGTATTACACTGAAATATGTTCCAACAGAGTCACTGTTGGAACGTGTTTTGACAATTACTGGTGTGCCATCTTCAAGTTGGCCTTTGACCAGTTCACTTTCACTCAGTTCTGACAGATCCTTTGCAGCATGTTCATCAATATTCTCATATTCCTGGATTGTTGACTGGGAGCCATCTGGTAGTGTTACAGTCCGTGATTGTTTACCATCTGGTGATGTGACTGTGGGAGCTATTGTTTTATTGCGATCTAGAAGAATCACTTCGGCAAAGTCATTAGGAGAGCCATCAGATGTAGAACAGGACTTCACAGTGACTTTGGTTCCATCAGCAAGACCAGCTTCTGATGGTGATAGATAAACAGCTTCAGTCAATTTTGTGGGACTTCTCACTACATCAGACTGCTGCAAACTAATTTCTTGACCACCTTGCATATCAACATTCAAACTTGATTTGCCTTCAGATGAACATACTGCTGTTTCTGTTACTTCAGAACCATCTTGAAATACCATGGATGTGTGTGATGTAGGTGCAGCTTCTTCATCTATTATTTGTTGATCATTCCTTGGTGTAACATTCCCCAGTAGAGATCTAGATGGAGCAGTTGATTCAATTCCTAAAGATGGCTTGAAACTTGTCTTTTCATCAACATGTTTCGATCCCATAACTGACCCAGGTGATATCATTACTTGCCCTGATTTTGAACCATCTGCTGATGCAACTAGAGTAGCAGTTGACACAGTTCCATCTGGTAAAATTACATCTTCTCCTTGATCATTAGCATTTTGATGCGTAGACTTCACTTGGATAAGAGTGCCGTCATCTAACAATGCAGTGAATGTTTCCATTTTCTCTTCTTCATTGGAAGATTTTAAGGTTGTTAAGTTTCCTTCATGGACGTTTGCAATTGAACCATCTGGTAATCTAGTGGTCCACTGTGATGTTCCATCTTCAAAGTTGAATTGTGTATCAGTTACCATTGTACCATCAGGTAGTACTACTTCTGCATGTTTCTCAGTAGAACTGTCATCTGCTTTTATTTTGTTAACGACCACTGGTGTTCTCTTTTCAATAGAAGCAGTCACTGAAGATTTTTGTTCCCATTCAGGTACTTTGATAAATTCATGTGATTTGAGTGGCAAAGCGGATACAACAGCTCCATCAGGCAGAGTGACTTGTAAAGTTTCAATGCCTTCTTCTGATGTCACATGGGATGTGGCAGATTGATGTCCTTCCGGTAGTATCACACTGAAATATATTCCAACAGAGTCACTGTGGAAATGAGTTTTGACAATTACTGGTGTGCCGTCTTCAAGTTGGCCTGTGACCAGTTCACTTTCACTCAGTTCTGACAGATCCTTTGCAGCATGTTCATCAATATTCTCATATTCCTGGATTGTTGACTTGGAGCCATCTGGTAGTGTTACAGTCCGTGATTGTTTACCATCTGGTGATGTGACTGTGGGAGCTATTGTTTTATTGCGATCTAGAAGAATCACTTCGGCAAAGTCATTAGGAGAGCCATCAGATGTAGAACAGGACTTCACAGTGACTTTGGTTCCATCAGCAAGACCAGCTTCTGATGGTGATAGATAAACAGCTTCAGTCAATTTTGTGGGACTTCTCACTACATCAGACTGCTGCAAACTAATTTCTTGACCACCTTGCATATCAACATTCCAACTTGATTTGCCTTCAGATGAACATACTGCTGTTTCTGATACTTCAGAACCATCTTGAAATACTATGGATGTGTGTGATGTAGGTGTAGCCTCTCCATCTATTATTGGTTGATCATTCACTGGTGTAACATTCCCCAGTAGAGCTCTAGATGGAGCAGTTGATTCAATTCCTAAAGATGGCTTGAAACTTGTGTTTTCATCAACATGTTTCACCCCCATAACTGACCCAGGTGATAGCATTACTTGCCATGATTTCGAACCATCTGCCGATGCAACTAGATTAGCAGTTGACACGGATCCATCTGGTAAAATTACCTTTATACCTTGATCATCAATATTTTGATGTGTAGGCTTCACGTTGATAGGAGTGCCATCTTCTAACAATGCAGTGAATGTTTCCATTTTTTCTTCTTCATTCAAAGATTTTAAAGTTGTTAAGTTTCCTTCATGCCCTTTTGCAATTGAAGCATCTGGTAATTTAGTGTTCCACTGTAATGTTCCATCTCCAAGGTTGATTTGTTTAGCAGTTACCATTGTACCATCAGGCAGTACTACTTCTGCATGTTTCTCAGTAGAACTGTCATCTGCTTCTGTTTTGTTAGCAGTTACTGAAGATTTCTGTTCCCATTCAGGTACTTCGACTATTTCACTTTCACTCAATTGTGACATATCCTTTGCAGCATATTCATTATGTTCAATTTTTCCATGTTCATGACAGGCTGACTGGGAGCCCTCTGATAGTTTTACAGACCATGATTGTTGACCATCTTGTGATGTGATAGGGGAAGCTATTGCCCTATTGCCATCTGGAGGAATCACTTCTGCAAAGTCATTAGGAGAGCCCCTTGATATTAAACAGGGCTCCACAATGACTGAAGTTCCATCAGCTGCTGATGGTGATAGATCAGCAGCTTCTGTAGATTTTGTTGGACTGCATACAACGTTAGTTTGTTGCAGACCTTTTGGAATATCCTGTTTTAATTTTATAAGTATTACATCACTGGATGCTTTGTCTGAATCTTCAAACTGAATATCTGTGAGATTGTTAAATGAGTTTGTTTTGAGACTGTTGAGACCTATAGTTGCCTCACTTGATTCAGACAACCCATCTGAGCACTTAGAATTGAATGATGTTCTCAAAGCAGCCTCTGGAAATGGTTTAGTAATCCAAGATAATTCAGAATTTAAAGATGATTGTGAATACTGAGTTTCATTTGAATTTATAGATGTGTGGGACCTAGCCAGATTATTGTGTTGCTGTTGATCATAATCCTGCTGTGCATCAAACTCTATCTCACCGAGCATCTCCCGAAGGTCAGGCAACTGTTTTCTTGTAAATGTGGATGTTATAGGATGGAATCCACTCTCAATTTTGATGTCTTTTTGCTGTTTTATTGGCACTGTTCTCCTTGACATGGCTGGTGAGCCCGATGGACTAATGAGTGCTTTTGTAATAGGTGTTAGTGCAGCTCTTTTTGAAGAAGCTTCAGCATTCACAGGATGCATTGCAAATTGTGTACCTTTTTGCTCTATTCTGCCAGTGACTTCAACACTAGGGTCCATACAATGCTCACTATTGAGATCACTATCATTATCCTTATCATATATAATATCTTGTTTCTCTTTACACATGTCACTTGTCAAAGGGATACTATTGTCATATTCATTTATCATTGCAGTTAGGTCATCTTCACCAGTTGGTGATTTGGAATTGTGAAATTTTACATTGTCACATGAGCGAACGGATATTGTTGTTGCCATGGAATCTAAGTCCCCTATATATGTTGCCTCAGACACTGTTGCCTCAACTGTACTAGGGTTATCATCTTGAAAGATGTCTTCACCAGCTATGTCATCATTGCTCTCAGCTGCAGACAAGATGTCATTTACTGACATGGATAAAGGCAATGAGCTCATACTCTCTTTAGCCCCTGGATTTATCGTTAGCTTACTGAATTTGAACTTTTCTATAACTTCTGTATTGTTTGCTATAAGTTTTTCAGTGTCATCACTACTTGAATGGGAGCCTTCAAGTCTGTAAAGATGGTCTATACCATTCACCACATCAGAAGTAGCATTTGGGAGTGTGGTATTTTGGTCTTCATAAACAACCATAGAGTCATTTAACTCCACATCAGCAATATGATCACAAGAACTAGTTCTTGGTAAAGTTGACACTACAACTTGGCGCACAGCTAACTGGGGAGTTCGCACAAACTCTTCATGAGTTTCAATTACCATTGCAACATCACCAAAAGGAATATTTGAAGAGGAAGATGCTTCTTCAGGTATATGGTCATCATTTGTATCATAAATATCAGCAGTGGAGATGTTACTTGTCTCCTTATGTTGGTCAGTAGCATCCAAGCTATCTTCAGCATTACCATTTGGTCCCATTTTGCAGATGGACATTTTTGTATAACTATTACTGTCATCTGATTCTGAATTAACTTTACCACTCTGTTTGGAAGGATCCTGCTTTATCATTCCATTTTCAATTAAAATGGTAATTTCACTGTCATCTCCAACATCCATTGACAAACTTACTTTCTCATCTTTGTCCTGTATAAATTTATGATGAGCTAGGTTGTACTGGTCCTCCACATTTGGTATTACATTGTGATCAGGGTGATCTGTATTCTGATCTGGTTGTTTTCCACTCTGACATATTTGCTTAATATTCTCATGATCTTCAAACATGATTGGGAAGAAATTAGATTTTGTCAAGTGCTTTGCCTTTTCTTTTCCACCATTGTTGATTGTGCTTGAATTAGGCTCTGGTGCCTTCTGCTGTACAACTGTGCTAGTTCCTAGGGATGGACATTGGGTGGTTGTTACTTCACCACTTTTTACACCATACATGGGAACTTCTTGGTAGGTAAATAGATTATTTTGATTTTCTCCTATTGATTGTAGTTCATTAATACTTTCAGCTAACAATTGCTGGATATGGCTTGGTTTCTTGTTTTGTCTTGTATGTGAGTCATCAACAGGTTGACAACCATCTATTTTATTTCTATCTGAACCTACACTATTAGAAATACCTGATGATGGAATTGTTTCATCTGAATTTAACATTTCTATAGGTGTGCTGCAAGACATGGGTCCTCTTGCAGAAAATGATTCAGAGCCAATTGTTGTATTATCAATACTAGGGGAGACTGCAGAAATGTTGTCAAGGAGATCAACTGTCAAGTTCATTGTTGCATTGTCTTTACCAGATGTGTATGATGGTAAGGATGTAGTATTTTCAATATTGGATGGTGGCAAGGAAGAGGCACTTTCAACAGTGACTTGTCCTAACATCGCATGTTCAACAGATACTGGCTCAAATTTCTCAATGGTTGATGATGTTTGTAGTGAACTACTTTCAACAAAACTTGGTGGTACTGATGTAGAATTATCATACGATGGGGATACTAAAGTACCCTCATCTAATGGCACATTGGTGAGCATAACAGGTTGCCTTGCTACAGATATGGAGTCCTCCGCTGTAAGTGTATTATCAGACATGCTTGTTAGGTTATGCTGGCCCCATCCTTGCAGCCCAGCCAGTTCACCAGCTGATGATGAACTTAAGCCATCAAGACCACGGTGGAAGTGAGCGAGTCTCTGATTCTCAGGTTGAAGGTTGTCATAGAGAGACTCAACACTCTGCAAGGTGTCAACTGAGAAAGTCCTCACACTTGTGATGTTATCATAATATGATTCGCCCCCTGATTCTGAGTCAGTCCTATGTTGATTATCATAATCAGATGCATCTGAATGTACATTATCATAGACTGGTGAACTTTGGCTCTTCATTTTGCTTTTACTTAGTGTGCTACCCATCTGCTGCCTTTGTTTGTGCCTTGGGGATACTTGAGGGCTGGGAAACTTGAACACTGTTGATGAGTCATTGGTTAGTGGGGTTTGACTTATGTTTGGCACTGTTAATATCGTATTACATGATTGTACATAGTTAGCATCACATTGTATATAGTCTGTATTCGCATTAGAAGCATGGACGGATTCCTTTTGCATATTAACAGTTTCCTTTAATTGAGATCCTACATTGGCACTTGAGTTACTGGAGGGAGTATTATGACTTTGTACATTTATTTTAATTTTATCCTTAGCACAGACTGAATCAATCACCACATCTGCAGCTTCTTCTATACAAGTGGCCAGGCCTTGAGGGGTGTCAGGGGTAGGACTGGTCATGTGGAGCAGCATTAGGCCAGTGGCTGTGTTCATTGCATCCTTAATTACACCTTTCTCAGCTTTCACCTCAGGATCAGAATCTGTGTATGGAGAATCAAGTTTCCTGGTGTCAATGAGGCTGTTATTGATGGATGTGACACTGTTCTCCATGTTCTCAATATCGCTTGAGAAATGTGGGCTTTGACCTTCACTGCACTCTCTATCACTGTGCAGTGGACTTGATTGCAAGCCTGTATTGGGTGATTGTTCTTGATCACTTAGTATCTCACTCTTAATAAAATCCTCATTATCTTTATCACTATACTGGGGATCAATGTCTTCAGATTTGGATGTAAGATCAATTCTCTTTACAGTTGAAGTTTCTGTATGTTGTACAACAGTCATGTTAGATTTCATTGCTGTAGAGCAAGTAAGCTTAGCAACTGTCTCATTCACTGTATCTATAGTCCTGTCGACTTCAGCTAACTGGAGGAAGGAGTTGCTGGCACTGGAGGATTTATCTGACTGGTGCTCTAACAGTGACCTATTGAAGTGTTGAGAGACTGTGCTCACTATATGACCTTTAAAATCTCTATTATCACTGTCTTTATGAGTGTCCTTTTCAACTATGTGGGTATCTGTCTTTTCATTATCACAACTATGACTAATATCTGCTTTATCACTTCTATTTTCTTCTGGTATGACAAACACAGTGTTAGGCCCATGAACATAAGATTTATCTATACTCAATCTTGTGTCAATTGTATTACCATTTGTTCTGTTTGTGGTATTATTTCCAGATCCCAGATTTTCTTTATCAGGATTAGTTTTACTGGCATTTTTTTGTACATCAGTGTCCTTAATATCAGTGTCTGTATGTTCCATGGTGTCATTTTGGTTAAGATCTCCAGTACAAGAGGCTTCATAAACTGTTTGTGCTGACTCTGACATGTTAAACATCACAGTCTGTGATGAGTCCGAAGATACATCCAATGAAGTTTGAGTTCCCGAACCTTTCTTTTTCCTTGATAAACTAGAGTTTCTATGACTGCTGTGATTCAAGGCATCAGTAAGAGCAGATATAGCTTCACTTATACCAGATAATTGTTCCGATACATGACTCTGGAATTGAGGATCAGTTTCTGTTTTGAGAACTTTAACTTGTGGGGATCCTTCATTAAGGTCCACACTATCTAGTAGTCCATCGTTAAAGAGTGAATCCTCAGAATAAATGCTGTCATTATCGGAGGTGATATAATCCTCAGAGTCATTCTTACGGTGGTGTTGAACTTTTTGTCGATTGCGTTTTGTAGATCTTCTACGTCTGACTGGTGTGGACCCAGATCCTGGCCTGGATGAAGATTTGGAATGTTTTCCTGGAAAATGAACATTTATTTTTCAACCTTATGTCAAAAATCTTTTCAATGCTATTCACATTTTCATCTCCTTTACAAATTTGCATTTAATGTTAGTTGGATGGACACTTTAAAGCATAATGAAGTCCAATCATCGTTACATTTTTCTTACATTTCTGATCTGATTTCTGAAAAATCCTTCACATTACTTTCATTATCTTACATTTTGCTGCCTAAAATATTAAAATCTTGACAGCCCAAGACAAACTTCAAACAAGGCATTAACATGACAAAATGTCACCACCAAGTTGCTCACAATATTATGAGTTCAATCTTAAGTCAGATTTGAATTTCTGAGAACTTGTAGATGATTTTGAAAAAATAAATTGGTCAACTTGAAGCAAGTTGAAAAAGACCTTTTTTGACCCTGAAAAGGTCATTGAAGGTGAAATCTAAAGTCAGATTTGAACTTCTGAAAACTTGTAGATGTTTTTGAAAAATTTGAAGCAAGATGAAAAATGTGACCTTGAGAATGCCATTGAAGGTCAAATCTATAGTCAGATTTGAACTGTTGAGAATTTGTAGATGATTTTGAAAAAAACAATTGGTCAATTTGAAGCAAGTTGAAAAAAGACCTTTTTGACCCTTTTTTGACCTTGAGAAGGTCATTGAAGGTCAAATCTCAAATCTAAAGTCAGATTAGAACTTCTGATTGTTTGTAGATAATTTTGAAAAATGTCAGATTTGAACTTGTGAAAACATGTAGGTGATTTTGAAAAGAATTGAAGTCAGTCTAAACAGTATTTGTTAAGTTATTGGAAGTTGTAAGAATTTGTTACAGATGCCGATCACCAACCGCCAACCACTAACCGCCGTCAAAAAAACGGAGATCGTAACAATATGTCACCACTTTTTGATGGTGACATAACAACATTTAGCAACAAACTTTGTCTCAATTTGATGTTCTGAAAAAAAGAAGCCAGCCCCTTTTCTAGAAAATGCCCTTAAAAGTGTACATACCTGAGGCTAGGGAGTCATCCGAGAGGGCCCCGGTGGCGTCAGAGTCTGCACCCAGCTGTTGTTGACGTAACTTGGCACGTAATCTTGCAGCTTTTCTAGCAGCAGACAGCTGTAGTTGACCATCAGAAGACCTGTATGTAAGTAGAGTGCGTAGATTAGTTCAATGTTGAAAGCATGTCAAGAGGTTGTTAACAGATAACATATCAGATAATTAACATTAACAGATAAAAGATATGAACCAATCAAAACCAAAAAACATTTATTCATTATGTGTATGTTAAAGAATGGTATCTCGTCAACTTTGACCTTAGTAAACTTGAATTCCTGGTCAACTTGGACCAATTATATCCAAAATAGATCAGAGGCTTTTTGCTACATAAAGGGTGAAAGCAATTAACTTGCTAAATATTAAGAATATTTGGTGTGTTAGATTTCATTTAATATTTTCTTGTAATCCTTAAATAATGATGCTTGTACAAGGGTCGATTGATATATCCACTACTTTTTGCTTTATTTTCTTTTAAATAAGTTCATTTCCATTGAAATTTGGCAAAGACATGCAATCCCACATCTTTTGATACCATTGCTGAGCCCACTACCATACATATTGTCTTCCCTTAGATAAATAGGATCAATAATGTTTAGTCGTTGATGTCTGTATTTATTCATATTCCTTAATAAGGGGCTGTTGTTTATTGGGTAACAATATAAAATATTTAGAAAGGACAGAGAACAATGTTTACAACTTGTTCAGGTAACATACAAGTTACTACAATGATTCTAAGCTCAAGCAAGGTATTAACATGACAAAATGTCACCACCTAGTCGCTCACAATAATGAGTTCATTCTTAAGTAAGATGTCAACTTCTGAGAACAGAAGAAAAATTGGTCAATTTGAAGCAAGTTGAAACATACCGTTTAGACTTTGACAGGGTCATTGAAGGTCAAGTCTTGAATCTAAAAATCAGATTTGATTTTCTGAGAACTTGTAGATGATTTTGAAAAAAATGTTGGTCAATTTGAATTTTTTTGTATTTGAGAAGGTCATTGAAGGTCAAATCTCAATTCTCAAGTCAGATTTGAACTTCTGAGAACTTGTTGATGATTCTTTTTAACTTAAGAAGGTCATTGAAGGTCAAATCTCAAATCTGAAGTCAGATTTGAACTTCTGAGAACTAGTAGATGATTTAAAAAAAAATTGAAGTCTAAAACAATATTTGTTAAATTATTGGAAGTTATGCTAATCACCAACAGCTGTCACAAAAATGGAGACCATAACAATATGTCACCATTTTGGGTGGTAACATAACAAACTACCTTAATATTGTATTGTATTGTTATAAATATTTAATTTGTTATCATGCATTCTGTACTTTAAATCGCCAGGTATGATAAGGTAAAATCTTATTCACCATTAATTTATTTATTAGAGGTTGGGAATATGGGAGATTTACACAGTACTAGTTCTTACTTTTGTGCTAGTTGTTGGACCTCAAGGAATTGTAGCAGTTGTAACTTCTCCCTGTCATTCAACTGTGTGTCATTGGTGATGATTGCCACAGGGTCTTCACTCATCAATGCTGCAGCAAACTCAACAAGATTGCTTTGAACCAGTGGATCTTCCTCCTATAATGTAAGATACTAAGTTTCTATTTATAAATGTTACTGTTTCAAAACTATAATGTTTTTAATGAAACGAAAAGGCCTAGGTCAAAATCTAGGTCAAATTTACAGTTTTTCCTTATTTTTATAATTTTGACACTACACTTTAATAATATTCTTCGAAATTTGGTATACAGATAGCAAACAGTATGCTCATAGCTATAGCTTTTTGCTGTCAGAAAGTATTTTGAACCATTTTTGAGATATGGTGTCCGGAAAGTAGGTCAAAACAAAAAATTCTCCAAATTTACATGTGAGTCCTGAAATAAGGGTAGATTTTCTCAGGAGTATGAATCTGAAATCAGAAGTGAAATCTAAGTTTCAGTTTAGCTTCTATGACATTTTGAAATCTTGAAAACCTATATGATGATATCCCAACATTAAGCCAATGAGTCGAAGAAAGCATAACCAAGAATTGTCTAAATGTCTATATCTAAATGTCTATACACTGGTTGACTCAGCTTCTTTTTGGATGACACAGCTTATTCTAGATGACTCAGCTTAAAACAAGTTTGAAATCTGGAGTCTTACATGTCTAGTTATTTCTGTAACTTACTTTAAGCCTCTCCATGGAGCCCTTGTGTTGAACACGTTGTCTACTTGACAACAACCCAGCAAAGCCTTCTGATCCAGCCTTGAAACTATCGACTGACATTCCTTCTATGCCCCTCTCCTCAAAATCTGAAACTCTTTCCAGGCTATCCACTGATATTCCCCGGACCTGCCGGGAGCTGACCCCTAGGGGTGATGATGCACCATGATCCAAGCTATCAACAGATATTCCATGGTACAATGCCTTTCCAGGTGAAGATGAAGTCAGTCGTGATGATTCACACTGTAAGCTGCCTGCAGATTTAGGGTCCTTTACTTCATGTTTGGGAGAATTTAAAGAGTCTTCACTTAATGCATCAGATACTTGTGTATTTGGATTGTCTAGTTCTAAGCAAATGTTCTGTGTGTCAGACAATTGATTACTCAAGTCATCAAGATCTAAGTGAATGCTCTGAGATTTTTCCAAAACTAAGGAAGAAGCAGATAGGGGAGTGGGTGATACTGTGCCTTCTTTCGGCCATTGTTCATCAATAGTTTGCTTCCTGCCATCAGGGAGTGCATGGATGATCAGATATTGTTCCAGAGGTTGTTTACTCTTTTTCCCTACTTTACCTGGAAGTATTATAACAATGTTATGAAGTATTCATGAATTATTTTGAAGTCAAGCATGGTATTTTTCACACAACATTCGATCTCATTTGTAATAGGTTTTGGGGTTTGATCAAATATTGATGTCATTTTTACCAGAAACTAGTTATTTATTTTGTGTCACACACTTCAATAGAATGGACAGCCTTTGTGACAGAAAGTCCAAAATGGCCATCTTAACATGTTGAAAACCTAATCAGTTCTTAACTTTCATGCCAAGATACATCCCTAAAAATTTAAGAACAATCCACTTAATTGTTTGACTCAAAACAAGTTTAATACACATGATTTTAGGATGGAAAACACAAAATGGCCACCTTAAAATTTGCCCAGAAAAACTAATCAGTTCTAGATTTTCATACAAAGAAACATCTCTCAAACTTTTTACTAAACCTTTCACCTGCACATGCGACAAGACTTTACAGACAGGATTTTAGCATGAAAAATCCAAATGACTACATTAACATTTACTCAAACTACCCAAAAAATAATTAGTTCATTCAAAGGATCATCCCTATAAATCTGAAATGAATCTGTCAAGCAGTTCTCTGGGAAATGTGTACAGGGTGCTTCATATGTAGACTTTAGACTCATAGTATTGCCACCCTATCATGTTATACAGGTATGGGTACAGGTATATACAGTATGGGCCCCCCTAGGCAGACATATACCAATGTCTCCATAGTATGTGTCATATATCATTTTAAATATTATCCAAAGTTACATAGATCTGCCTAGTATCATGGTTCAACTCACAAATGGGAAAAAGTTACAGGCATTTCAAAAATTAAATGACCCAAAGTGTCATTAGACAGTGTGCCATGCTTATAATATTCACATATAAAATATGAACAAAATCGCGCTACTACTTTTTGAGTTATAGTAAAAAATGTAAAATAACACACGTAAAAATGGCGGCCATTTTTCAAAATGGCCACCTACGACCCAAAATGTCATTAGATATTGGGCCATGCTTAAAGTATTCACATACCAAATATGAACAAAATCACTCCACTACTTTTTGACTTACAGTAAAAAATGTTTAATAACACACTTAAAAATGGCGGCCATTTTTCAAAATTATATGATATATAACATGATAGGGTGGCAATGCCACAGATATGATTAGAATGCAATCATCATGAACATTTTTCAATACATACCTCTGGTACCCTTCTTCATAGGCCTTGCTTGTTCTTCTTGCTTCTTTTTCTCACGTGCCTCAACCTTTGCTTCTCTCAACCGGGATCTCACCTTAACTTCGACATTGTCAAAATCTTCTAAAGATTCATTGAACATTGTCCTTGTATTCTCAGTAGCTCGTACAAACGATGCATCACTGTCGGAGCTGTGTCTTGAAGTGGACACTCTTTCAAGAGATTGATTTTCTGCTAGATATCCAGCTGGCACATATACTTCAACAGGAATGTCAGCCCCTTTAAGATTACACTTCTTAGGTCTTATAAATCCAGATTTTACATCTTTAAGTGTCTTTTTAGTCACTTTAGGTTTGCTACTAGAGTCAGTTGGAAGAATATCACTATTAGGAGGATGAGATTTTATCTTGGCAGCCTGTGTATGTTGAGGGCTTGGATCAGAAGTATTCTTTCTTTTAGAGCCAACCACTGGTTGAGAGACCTGTTTGTTTGAACCTTTGAGATCTGTGGTGTTCTGAGCTCTTGTGATTACCATTTTAGATTTAGTTTTATAAGAAGTCACTTTACTTTCTCTAGTTTTCAGTTTGGTCTCACTAACCTTGGTTTGGTCACTTGTTTTAGCTTTATTGTCACCTACTTTATATTTGTTGACACCAATTTTAGTTTTAGTACTGCCATAACTTGAGGGTTTTTTGACGGTCTTGATTTCACCCAACTTATAAGTGTCTGTTGAAGGTCTCTTTTTAAATGTAGCAGTTTCAGAGACAAAAATATTAGAATTCCTACTTGAACCATGGGGTTTAATTTGTGAGGTAGACTTTTGACTAGTATTGCTTATAATATTGTCATATTGGTCCTTTATTTCATGTTGTGGTTCATTGTTTTTCACAGGGATTGCTTCAGATTCAGGAGCTGTAATATCACTTATAGAATGAGTATCAGATAATCTTGACAATTTCATATCAGGCAATTCTTTATCATTATTATCATCAAAGGATTCATTGTTATTAAAGCCATGCTTGGAGGACCCTAACTGGGGTTCTATAGAAGCCTGTTGACTAATTCCTAATTCTCCACTTGTGTTGAGTTCACTGGTTGAACCAAGTCTGTCTAAAGCTTGTGCATATTGCTCCAGTAGCTCCTGGCTCCCTAATGTTACCAGTCCAGAGTCAAATGCATCTGAGTCCATAAGCTCATCATTATCTTCAGCACCTTCAAGCTCAGTTAACTCGGGTTCCTCAGAGCTAGACCCAACAAAAAACTTGGCACCCTGATTACTCTTTATTATGTTATCGCTACTACTAAGAATGTTATCATCAGATTCAATATCCATTGCTTCACTTTCACCATTGGGCTTAGTATCACGGGAAGGAGCAGTTGATGGGATCATTTCATTGTCACTTTTGGAATGCTGTTCACATTTAGAGTGTTCAGAATTATCAGATTGCTTATTTGGCTTATCAGAATCCACCTTTGATTGAATATGTGGCTGTGTTGTCGATAATTGAGATTTTGCTGGAATGGAAGCATATTCGGATTTTTCATTTTGGGCTTGTTTTTTAATTTCAAATGGGTCACTTTGTGAGCGCTTTAGTCTAACAACATTGGAAGTCAATGCAGCTGGGGCACTAGCAACTAACATATCTACATCATCATCATCATCACCAATTGGTGAAGACCCATCAGTGCTTTCATGTAAGTGTTTTAACTCAGGAGAGCTTGAGTCTAGAGGGTTAGTAGTATCCATACTAGCCTCAAGGTCCAAGAATTCTGTCATGCTTTCACTCCTATTTTGGTGATCCATAAGGTAGGAGCCATCTGAGGAATCTCCCTCTTCATATAAATAATCCTGCTCCAAAAGGTGTTCAACTGATTCGGGGACACTGGTCAGGCTACTAGTGTTATGCTGTTGAATTAACCTCTGAGGACTTCCAACAGGAGAGCTACCTGGTGAAGTGTTGAGTCTTGATCGTGCTCTTCCTCTCCCAGCTACAGATACACTCTTACACCTAGACTGGGGCCCCGCCATTATCCTGGGACTTGGGTAGGACTTTGGACGCTCTAATGGAATAGTAGCACCTTTAAGTAGCTTCACAGGTGCAACATCTTCACGTGTGGTAGCATCACTAATATGTACATCACGTTTAGATCTGAGATACTGAAACTTAGGTTTACCAGCCGGAGCTTGATAGAGTCTACTTGTAATGTCCTGTGCATGCTTGGGAATCTTATTTTTAGGAGAGGGCTGGGGAGATGGGTATTGGTCTTTATGTTTAGCAGCACCACTTGTGTTTGATTTAGAAGGATCCTGAGAATTTTTCCTTGAAAATGTAACAGTTGTAGTAGTGGTAGTTTTTAATAGGGGGGAAGCATTATGTTTAGGTTTGGGACCACTTCCTAATGATGATGCCCTATCAGGTGAGACTGAGGTACTCCGTGGGTCACTATGGTTACTTGATGTATCAGAACTCCCTGATCTACCAACAGGGCTACCTCGTCTTTGTAACTGATTAGCTTTATGACGCACGTATAATCCTAACTGTTGTTCACGTTTTCGCAACATTTGAGTTCGTTCCATATCTGCACTAATATGTTCCAAGTCCTTCACATCCTCCTTTTTGTATTCCTTCTCAATTTTATGCAGTTTATGTTTCTGGACTTTGATTCGTTCCCCATGAGATGATATTCGCTCTTCACATTCTCGCTGTCGATGAGTTACCCGTCTTATAGCCTCTTTATGAGAGTGTCTATGCAAGAGTTCTAATTGGACTAGAGATTTTTTCTGACCCTGTACACTAGTTTTCCGCCGTCTGATGGCATCTTTTTCAATTACCTCACTTTCTACTGGTTCACATTCAACATTAACATTGATGACATCACAAGCTCCGTCACCACTGAAGTCCCCATCTGTCTGTATACCTAGGCTGGACCAGTTGCGAGTGTCATCCTTGAGGAGACTAAGCTGTCTAAGTTGAGCAGCTATGAAGCCTGCATCTGAAGGCAAATTTTTAGAGCCATGTTTAGTAATAGCTTTACTTTACTGCAAGATTACTCAGTACAGCAACAATAGCAATTTATCAAAGATCTTACCTGATGTATGCATGTATTATCAATAAAATGAAATAAAATGAAATAGAATTCTATTGCAAAACTAGACAACACCAAGGTGTAGCAAACCAAACCCCAATGGGGGTTCTGTATTGATGTTAAACAAAAATAACTTAAAATAAAATGGGAATCTTATCGACAGAGGTTTTAAAACGTGCAACTATAGAAAGACAGATAGACAAAAAATGAGTTTACCACGACAAAAATGGTAGCCATTTTGAAAATATGCAAGCTTTTGAACCAGAAGTCATAGGGGGCTTTCTTGTATTGTTAATAAAAGTAACCTCAAACTATATAGGATCATATTGACAGAGGTTTGGCTTGAAACTATGTAGACAAGACTTTATAAATACGATTTAAAGTCAGTAAACAACAAAAACAATAAAAAAGAAGATATAAATTTTTGCTGATATTTTTTGCAAAATTATTTCATGAAACTACTGTTTACAGTGACATGGGTTTTTACGATAAAAGACACCTGAAATTATTTTTACACCTAAGAAATTATCCAAAAGTTAATTATTGCATTTTGGTTATAGGGGACTTTCTGGAATTGGTAATTAATAAAAGAATCTTAAAACTAGAATCATATCGACAGAGGTTTTAAGTGAATTTTGCAAGACAAAAATAGCTCCCATAAAAAAAAACTGTTGAAAAAAATCATTTTTAAGAATACTCACTGATCTGTTTCTCTTCTTCAATTTGCGCTCTCATTTGTTCAAGTTCCTGCGCCATTGCAGCCTTAGCATGTTCATGCTCCTCCATGAGGGCTTGCATGTGACGTTTCTGCCTGTCCAGCTCAGCCTTGTGCTCTTCATGTTTCCGCCACATCTCCTCCTCTTTGTCTTGGCGTGCATCTTCAGCCTCTCTCTGCTCATCATGTAGTTTCTGTAGCTCCCGTCTGTAGTCACAAGAAATATAAATGATAAATACTTGAGAGGTCATATTTTTTTTATCATGGATCTTTGAATGGTTGGTGTAGGCTTTTCTCTGTAAAACAATGTTCCTAAAATGTAAAATCCTGTATCAAATGAGCAATCTTAAAGGAAAGTATCTTTGGGCAATTTACTTCATGAAACTTCTAGGGATTTCATCTGAAAAAGATTTTCAATGTTTAAAAGACCCCAAATAAGTATGAGAGTCATTCAGAACTAAACAAAGAAAGAATACAACCATTAAGATTTTATAGAGTAAGACATGCTACTGAGTTCAGAAATATAATCGCTCATTTTAGAAGAAATGGTGGCTCAAAAGGCATCACAGTTGCCTTACATTTTGTAAAGGTGAGGAGGAAAAAATAATCTTTCAAATAATCTTGTTTAGGTTATAAATGACATAGATGCCTTTAATGGCTGTTTACTATAATTCTAATATTCTGATGAAATCATTTTGCTCCATCCCATTGACAAGAGTTATTTTAATAGAAAAAATTAAATAAGGGAAGACATACATGTTTGAAGAAACAAATACTTTAAACAGTATTTAGACTATCTAGGATAATTATTAGAAGCCTTCATTAAAATATGCTAAAAAGTTATGACGGAAAAATGATAATTCCAAGTATTGGATGTTGGTGATTTTTTCAATAATTTTGCACTGGATCATAGTTGGCTTTAAACGAATTCAGTGCAGAAGCATGTTTGTTATAATCATCGCAAGCACTGGTTCTGTAAATAAGCAATTTTTGAGTTAAAAAATAAAATGTATGAATTCCTTTTAAACAACCTGCTCCTCCCCATTAAATTAGCAAATTAGGCGATGACATCCTGTGTGTATGTAGAATATATGTAATATATGTATATGTTTGGGTCATCTGCCATCAATTCTACAACCAATCAACCATGTTATGACAATACAGTGCGTATCAAAGAAAAAAACGCAACAGATTGTTATCTTGGAAAAGCACAAAACCAGTGATAACAGCATTGATTTCATCCAATGCACCATAAAGCCGTGTGTCTCCTCTTTACAATGATATATCATTCATTTATATTTGGTCATGGTTGAGCGAGTAATCATTCCATTTGCAAAGTGGGCCAAAATTAGCTTCGGGCCAAGTTATAAACATTGCAAAAGTCAGTGTACGGAGCCCGATGCAATATTGGATGAAAACATAAAACCAATGCTGACTGCATCCTTTTAATTCAATATACCAAAAGCAAAATTACTCCTCTTTGTAATGGAATATCATTCATTCACAGGGAGTCATCTCTGGCCGAATAATCATTAATTTTGCAAAGTGGGGCAAATTTCAGCTCGGACCCACTAGTTGAAAGCCCATGGTTTAACACATTGCAAAAGTCAGTACAAGGGGCATAGGGGCTATTGGAAGAAGGTGTGACAGGTATGGCATAGACAGTAAAGTGTTTATACTCATACTCTTGCAAGAAAACATCCTATACCCCTCCAAATTGCCACCACTTCCTTGCACATAAAGATGTGCTCATCTGTCCACGTCATGCATGGTTCAGCCCTGAATCATGTGTGGGTTAAAGCAAAGAAAAGCAGCCCATGGGCAAATCTTTCTCGAGGTTTTGCAATATCTGGTGGAGGAATTGTGAGCACAGATGCTCCTGAGATAGCTCCAAAAGAAAAAGTCACAACAATTCAAGTCAGGGGAACTTCCATTAGCAATCAGCCCTTGCACTGATTTTTTCAATATCTAAAACTTGGTGCAGAGCCGATTTTGACCCATTGTGCAAATGGAAGGATTTCTCACCCAACCATTACCACATGTAATGAATGACATATCATTGCAAAGAGGAGAGACGTGGCTTTATGGTACATTAAATGAAATTGATGCTGTCATCACTAGTTTTGTGATTTTACGAGATAACTACTTGTTGCGTTTTTTTGATACGCCCTGTACATATAATGTGTTAAAAGCCAACACACCCAGTTATTGTCATAACTTCAAATTCATCATACAGTTCATTCCACATACCTTGTATTTAAGAAACCTGCTTTAAATCTTTTTGGTGAATCTCCCTTACATTTCCTCTTCTCACTTGCGTGAGGCACAAAGCTCGCACAAGACACTTTGTTGCCCATGTTACCTTACAGGGAACTTTAGAATACACCCTAACAAATCAATTCCCGTCTCTCTTCTGGTCTAATTTGGTGCATTAATACCAGAACTGTAATCTATTGCAGATAAATGTGCTAACATAATCCATCTAATCAGGCTATATCAAATAAATTTTCAATATTTATTCTTTCATTTTTTGTCATATTGTTTCATTTTCTTCCAATTCAGATAACATATACATGTACTTTATGTATTCTAACATCCTGCCTAAAGTTTTAATCCACAAGTTGCCATGCCTCTCTGTGTAAGGATAGCATACATGCAGTCTTTGTAATACTGAAGATTCAATATTGTTTACTTATTCTATATTGTGACATGACGCTATTGTTATATCTTGAAAGTGCTGTTTGTCTATTTGCCTGTTATAGCTGTGTGTATTTATTTACACTGTCTCCATGTGTTGTCAGGAGAAACAAGAATTAAAATCATATAAATCCGCATCAATTAACTTAATTGTCTTGAGTGTCTACCTCTGCAGATATATTCTAATTGTGTAATCTGCCTACTGCTTTTTATATTCTTTATTAATTAACTTAAATCTTAAACTATATCCCTACTAACATCCTGAATACCCAATTCCAAAAAGCACTATAAAACTTGGATTCTCAGACTCTTTTTAACCTTTCCTTCATATTAATTTCACGATTTCCTCGTGCAGATGATCCAGATGTTCAGTAAATGTTTAACACTGCAATTTACAATTTTACAAGTTCAAAATCGCATTGAATGATGTTGTATACCCAGTATGCTTCTGTAAATGTAGAATATTTCATTTTCTGTTGTATTTTTCTTCTTGTACAATTCTGTGTAAATATTCCACACAAAAGAACACTAGATGATAAGTTCTATAGTTCTGTAAATCAAGAAATACTGCCATGCGCAGAAGGCTATGATGCTAAACTCATGTAGGAAAATCCATCCAATTTAAAATTTGTTCTACAAGCATATTAGGTACTCAGTTTATCCTAACTATGTTCCACAAGTTTATTGATTAAAATTCACAATTTTAAAACTGCTCATCAAATATTTACATTTCTGTTGATTTGGTGCAAGACCCCAAGTTTGACCCTAAGCTGCCAAAGCCCTTACAAATATATTACAATTAAAGCCCTAATATTAGTTTACAACTCTACAACTTTATTTTATTGAAAAATTATATTTAATCAAAATATACAAATCTAGCTCTTAAAAAAATAAAACATTTTTGAATATTCAATGTGGTATTTTATTAAAATGCATAAAATAATCCTAATTTGTTCCAAGAGTAAAACTGTTTGACAAAATATTATTTTATCCTTTAGTATAGTGTTTAAATTATTATATTAGGACTAAAACTAACTGCTCAACTTAAAAACTATTATGAGAGGATTTTATGAAACTGAATAAAATCTGCTAATAAATACGAATGTTCAATTTATACTAGTATATCATTTTCATGTCACTTTTTGTTAGTGTACATGTAATTGAAATACAAAACGACCGTGAGAAGTAATAAAAAAAATTATAATCTTTTGCTGATTGGCCTACTTTACAAACCTGGAACAAGTAAAACAAAAAACAGCAACTCAACTGAGTAGCAAATCCCACCAATCAAATCTTTTAGCATGTTTTTCAAGTCATTTTTCCTCTAACAATTTAAAGAGCATATTGACGTCATCTTAATACGACAAAGTTGTTACTAAAGCCTCTATCAACAAGTGCACTTCACCTAGATGCAAATGCTATGATATAATACTCACTGAAGGGGAATACAAATATAGGGAAAAGATTATCAAACCTAAGGTTAGCATGAACTGGGACATTAAAAATGTTATATATTCAATCATCTGCACTGGATGCGGAGAGATGTACATAGGACAAACTGCTGGTGATTTTCTCAGAATGAGAATGAATGTACATAGACAACAAATAAAAATCCAGAATTACGGATGTTACCAGTTAGCGCCCACCTTGATGAGTGTGGTAGAGGACAGTTCAATGTTTTACCGTTCTATAAAATGAAATATGAGGATGTACACGAAAAGTTACAAATGGAGTCACATTTCATACAAGTGTTTAAATCTTCATTGAATGTTTAGATTTTTTCATAATATAAACATTGAACTCTTTACCATAGTTAAAGTTACTATGGTATTTTATTTGTATGATACCATTATTATTTGTATAAATAACTATAGTAATGGTAATGTTTTCCTATGATGTCATATTTACTGTATTTTACTGTTATTCCCTAAAGGTTTTTAAATAAAGAAACATGTTGGAATTATTTCTCTGCCTTTATTTTGGATTATTTTATTAGTCAAGCATATACTCTAAGAAGGGATCAATAAACACTGATATTACATAAGATTATTGTCATCTGTTCCCAATTGAATTATTCTTATACCTTTGAATGTATCAAAGTATTTAATGTATCTGTAATATTGAATTATAATTGTTCATTCTTATTCTAGTGTCTGCATTCAGTCTCATCCTGATGTAATTTGTATGATCTATGTTTATTGTTTAATGTTGACCTGGCAATCCCCACTATGCCAAGTAAATCTTAAAGATTAAGGTTCCTTTTTAGCTGAACACATACATTTGCCTCTTGAGGATCAATATCACATCATAACATGCATGTTCATGCACAAAACGAGATCTCGTATATTGGCGATCTGAGCCTCCACTAGAAACATTTAACAATATAAACAATCACATTTATTGATTCTGTACCACAATCCACAAGAATCAATACTGACACATTAATATATGGTTTAGCTTCATGGTAATGTTAACTATAACTACAGGGTGAACCATTATCAAAATATAAT